CCTGCCAACTGCCTTTTGGGTCCTACTGTCATTATTGGTCGGAGGAATTCCTCCTTTGGAGGAATTTCTTGGTTCCCTGCCCTGAGTCTTAGTGAAAGGTTTGTTACTGCACTGAGTAGGCATTTATGGAGCACCTGCACGAGCCAGAGATGACCAAGCCGCAGCCCTCCTCCAGGAAGCCTTCCTGGGTTGTCCCAGGAGAACCAACAGCCCCTTCTCTGCAGCCTCACTGACCCTGAGCAGAGGCCAGTCCTGCCACCCACATGTTTATGGAGGGGTCTGCCTCCTGCATGAGGCTGCGACTCCTTGACCTGTTCCTGTATCTGTGGCAGGTAGGGAAGGGTAATCAGAGAGGCTGCATAGAGGAGGCGGCCTTTGAGCTGCCTGTGGAGCGATGGGCAGGGTGTTGTAAGATGCATCAGAGAAAGTTGTTTCTAGTGCAAGGTGTGTCCAGATGCAAGAAAGAGCAAGGTGGGCTGCACACAGTGGGCGCAAGGGCTGGACTGGAGAGATCGCATGGGGAACCACGAAGGGAGGTTGCAAAGGAGCGAGGGACATGCTCAGGATGCCGGGCTTTGTTTAGGAGACAGCGGGAAGCCATGGAAGGTACTTATGGAGAAGCAGTGCTATTTCACAGTGGCCATAGCAGGGAGCTCAGACTCATGCAGAAGCGTGTGCACGTGCAGCCCTGCCTTGAGCTGAAGCAGGTACACATCTGTCCCTGGCACTTCCCCAGATGACCAGCAGAGATACGCCCCAGGATTCTTTGAGGCACCTCCCCACTTCTCAGCTGTCAGGGACTAGCCGAGAGAAGCAAACTCGAAATCAGCCCAGGGATGTTTCCCTTCTCTCTCTCGGGGGTGTGAAGGGGCTGCAGCCAGTGTCTCAGTTTAGAAATGGGAAACTTCCATTTGGGAGAAGGCAACAGAGTTCCTTAAGATTTAGGTAAGGTGTGCCAGTGGTAGATGTTTAGCCTCCAGCTGGGGATTGGAATCTGTGTTGCTGGCAGTGACTTGTGAGCAGTGGCAAAGCAAAAGGTGACGTCACCAGCTGGAGCAGCATGGCCAGCCCTGTCCAGCATGGGGAGGCCGCCGGTGCGCTCACATCGAAGAGCGCTGCGGAGCAGAGCTGTCCAGGGAGGCGAGACTGGAAGCGGTGACTTTTTCCGGTCAGCAGTCATTTAACCTGGGCTGGGAGAGCGCTAGGCGGGAGCGGGAGGAAGTTCATGGTTATGGTCTTCACATTGTCAAGTGGAAGGAGGTAAAGTTGTTCTGTTGTGACTCTCCCGCTTCCACAAAGGGGGGTGGGGGGCGGTTACAGATCTTGGCCGAAAAGAAGCAAAAAGGAAGGGCGCTCTAGGCCTCGGAACCAGCAGTGGAGTGGCTGCGGGGACAGTGAGCTCCCCGTCAGTGCAGGCGCGCAAGCAGAGCTCCGGAGCCAGCCAGGGAGGTGCACGCGCGAGGTCTGCGGGTGCCATTGCTGACCCCGTCGGGTTCCCTGCATTCTCTTCCGTTCTCTCTGCTGTTGGCTTCTCACCCTCCCGACCCTTCTGCCAGGCCACTCCTTTTAAGCATGGACTAGTTGACACAGGTGTTGACACAAGTGTTCGTGATCCCCTTCCAGGATGCTCGCCCCACCACAGAGCTCCTGCCACGGGTGGCGCCTAATGAGAGCCACCGCCCTCTAAGGGTGGCCTTTGTGGCAGCTGCCCTCTGCGCCCCTGGACAACCTGAACGTCACTGCCTCCCCTCATCTCACATTGGAAGCCTTTTTAAAAATAATTAATTAATATTTCATAAGAAAATACTTTGAGACTCCTTTCTGTCCATGGACACCACCAAGGAAGCTTCGTAAAAGTCTCTCTTCCCACCTCCGTCCTGTCAAGTCAGAGTCTCCTAAAGAGCCCAAACAGCTGCCGGGGCTGTTCACCGGAGGGCTGAGCTTTGAACAACTGAAGAGAGTCTCAGGACCCCTTCTGAGCACTGGGAACACTTGCGGCCTGTGGGGTACCGAGAGAGGCAAACACCAGGTGCTCTGGGGGCTTTGGGTTTGTCACATAGGTCACCGTGGTGGAGGGGATGCAGCCATGAACGCAAGGCCACACAAGGTGGACGGAAGGGTTGTGCAGCCAGAGAGCTGTCTCGAGAGGTTTCTCCAAGACCAGGTGCCCACTTAACTGTGAGAAAGATGGCATTAAAGGACAGTGTGGGAAAATTGGAGTGATTGAAATCATGACTGACCGAGGCAGTGGCAAGAAAGGGGGCTTTGCTCTTGCGACGTCTGACGATCGTGACTCTGTGGGTAAGACTGTCATTCAGAAATACCACACTGTAAGTGGCCACGACTGTGAAGTAAGGAGGTGGCTTCATCCAGCCAAGAGGTCAAGGTGGTTCTGGAAACTTTGATGGTGGCCGTAGGGTGGTTTTGGTGGGAATGACAGCTCTGGTGGTGGAGGAAACTTCAGTGGTCGTGGAGGCGTAGGTGGCAGCATTGGTGGCGGTGGATGTGGTGTCAGTGCGGGTGGCTATACTGGGTTTGGTAACGATGGGAGCAGTTTTGGAGGTGATGGGAGCTACAATGATTTTGCCAGTTACAACAATCAGTCTTCAAATGTTGGACCCATGAAAGGAGGAAACTTTGTTTTTTGTTTTGTTTTGCTTTATGGCTTATGATTTTTGTTTTCTTTTTTGTTTGTTTTTCTGTTTTAATTTATCAGTATACAATGTCGTTGATTTTCGTGTCCCTTTACGAATTCCTCCTTTCCCCCCTCCCCGCCATCAACANGGGTGGTTTTGGTGGGAATGACAGCTCTGGTGGTGGAGGAAACTTCAGTGGTCGTGGAGGCATAGGTGGCAGCATTGGTGGCGGTGGATGTGGTGTCAGTGCGGGTGGCTATACTGGGTTTGGTAACGATGGGAACAGTTTTGGAGGTGATGGGAGCTACAATGATTTTGCCAGTTACAACAATCAGTCTTCAAATGTTGGACCCATGAAAGGAGGAAACTTCGTTTTTTGTTTTGTTTTGCTTTATGGCTTATGATTTTTGTTTTCTTTTTTGTTTGTTTTTCTGTTTTAATTTATCAGTATACTATGTCGTTGATTTTCGTGTCCCTTTACGAATTCCTCCTTTCCCCCCTCCCCGCCATCAACATCATATCTGTTCACTTGTCTTAACAAGTTCAAGGAATTGTTGTGATGATTGTGTCTTCTTTTTTTCCCCTTCCCGTTTATTTGCTTGTATATTTATTTATTTTTATTAGCTCGCACAAATAAGTGAGAACATGGTATTTGTCTTTCTGTGTCTGACTTGTTTCACTTAATATAATTTTCTCTAAGTGAAGGGAGGAAACTTTGGAGGCAGAAGCTCTGGCCCCCGTGGTGGTAGAGGCCGATACTTTGCCAAGCCACGAAACCAAGGTGGCTGTGGCGGTTCCAGCAGCAGCAGTAGCTATGGCAGTGGCAGGAGGTTTCAATTAACTTCCAGGAAACAAAGCTTAGCAGGAGAGGAGAGCCAGAGACATGACAGGGAGCTACAGGTTACAGCAGGAGTGTGGACTCAGCCAGGCACGGTGGTGGCCGCTGCTACAAAGAAGACGCGCTTTAGACAATACTCGTGTGTATGGGCAAAAAACCCGAGGACTGTGTTTGTGACTAATGATATAACAGGTTATTTCAGTTTCTGTTCTGTGGAAAGCATAAAGCATTCCAACAAAAGGTTTTAATGTGGAATATTTTCTGCACCCATGCTGTTGATTGCTAAATGTAACAGCCTGATCAGGACGCTGAACAAATGTGTCTTTTTTAAAAGAGAAGATACTTCAAGATTATATAAATGTCCTGCTCTTCATCAAAATCTTACACTCTAGTTTTAACCTCCATTGCTGTTTCTTGGCTTAATTATTACTACGATGACTGCCGAATGGCTATTTGAACGACTGGTTGGCGTTTTACCGTAAGGAGGAGCTTTCTCGTCTCCTCCCTTGTTTATATCAGCTGGACGTGCAGTCTCCTACCTTACTCGGTGGCTTATAATCTACACCATTGTTTACTGCAATGCTCAGACTGTTCCAGAGCGCCCATGTGGATGCCCTTCACGCTGGCTCCTGGGTCCTTCTTACACGTCCCCATCACTCCCTGAGCGTTTCCTTTACTTTCTGGCACACGATGCTCCAGGCTCATCTTACATTTTTCTCGGCCCAGCTCAGGCGTCTGCCGTTTTTCCAGGTCACCCTGGTTCCTTTAGTGGAGAATGCTATTTAGAGATCCAGAGCTAGACAACAAGTATGTTTGTTACTTTTGGGGTGTTTGGGCTCCCAGGCCTTTCAGTGACAGAGCTAGGATGTGTGTGTGTGTACATGTACACACACATACACACGTGTACCTATGCACACACACACACATGCCTACACATGTGTACGCACAAACTGTATGCACACATCAACACCAGTATCTATGTTTGCATCAATCTATCCACATCAGGAACCGTGAGTTCACGCCTATACCTACACCAGCTCCTACACTGCAGGGCTCACTCCAGCCTTCTCCTTTCTGTAGCTCTCTTCTCCACAGTGTGACCCCATCCTCACCTGGCCTAGGCTCTAATGCTCCACGCAGGCTGCGGCCCCCTCGCCTCGGGAACACCCTTCTTACCTCCTGTGGCTGCGGTACCTTATGCCAGGCCTCCACTGCCCTCCGCTCAGATGCCCTCCTCACCCTGTGTGGGCTCAGACACCTCCTGCTGGGCCTTTGTCACTTGGCTGCCCTTCTCGCCGCTCCCTGGGCCTGGCCAGGTGGTGTGCAGGTGCATGCTTAACAGCCAGTTCTTGAGGTGGGCTGGGGCTGGCTAGTAGCATCTGCAGCTTCCTCTGGTGTGAATCCTACCACCACGGCCAGCTTCAGGCTACCAACGTGATGCTGCTGGACAGAGTCGGGAAGTGATGGGTAGTAGCCACCTTTACGTAGATGACCACCTCCAAATGCAACCAGCAAAAATATCCTCATAGGGCATCATAAACGCAGTAAAGTAACTAGGGAGTGGTGAGTTTGAATATTTATTACCTTTATGTTTAGTATAATATACTTAATTATAAGTTTACCATATTCCATTTTTTAATAATGGCTGTTTTTCACAACTGGCTCCCAAAATTCCTAAAGTTTTGACAGTGGCTCTGGTGAGTGGTAAGAGCTGGCCCTAGTGTACCAATGACTGACCCCACTTGGGTTGTGTGGGTGGATGCCCCTTCCAAAATTCCTAAAGTTTTGACAGTGGCTCTGGTGAGTGGTAAGAGCTGGCCCTAGTGTACCACTGACTGACCCCACTTGGGTTGTGTGGGTGGATGCCCCTTCCCCCCTCCTGGGCTGTGAGTCCCCAGCAGGCCACCAGGTCCCCTGCTCACCCTCTCAGGAGGCTGCCTCTGTCCCTGCCCCAGTCGGATGCCACCTACCTTGCTCAACCTGATGGCTTTGGACTGAAATATTCAAGAAGGAGGGGAGGGGGTGGTGAGCTAAGAAGCCCTCTTACGTCCCTGCTGTCCCGTTATAGGATGTGCTGTGGTTCATTTCACTGGTCTCTTGCTGACTGACGTTTAGGTTATTGTGGGTTTTTGCTGTTAAAACAACACAGAGAGCTTCCTCCTAGCCCAGGGTCAGTTCTTAGCAGAGTAGTTGGTGAGTGAAAGCATCTGGGTGGTTTTCATTTTGAGAGCTATTGCCAAATTGCCCTCCAGGCTGTGCTCCGCGCCCCCCACCCCCTGTAAGTATGGCTCCATCTGTAAAGTGCGCTCTGCAAACTGTAAAGTGCTGTATGCATGCCTGGTGGTGGTGGCGGGCAAGGGTCCCGATTTTCCCCAGGTGTGAACCCCTTCTATTTTTTGTTTGATTTCCTTGCATTGACCCTGTTGAGAAACAATATTCTAAGACTCACAGTTGCGCTCTGCAGTAATTTGCCTTAGGGCGTGTCCCTGAATCTAGCATCCTGAAGTAATGGCAGGTTTTCCCCTCAGGTACAAGAAGAATTTGAAGGCTCTCTATGTCGTGCACCCCACAAACTTCATCAAAGTCCTGTGGAACATCTTTAAACCCCTCATCAGGTATGTGTTGTGTCATTCTCGGTGAGCCCCTTTCTGGGGCTGGAGGTTTCATTTCAGGCACCATGGAGGTCCCATCTCTGGGGTGCCCGTGTGTCTGGGGCCCTCACCCACCACAGGGGTCTGCAGTGGGTCACAAGCCTGGCCCAGGTCATGGCCATGACCTGCTGACAGTCATTGCAGGAGCACTGTCCTGTGACACCAGTGAGGTTTGCACCTGGTATTTTAAATCCCCCCTTGGCCTGAGTACCCACATTGTGCATCTGTGTCAAGGTCCCCAAAAGCACCCTCAAGCTCAGTGATTAGATAGAAGGACTCACAGAACTCAGAAAAGCTGTATTCCTCCCTGTTCTGGTCTGTTATAGAGGAAGGATACAGATAAAGTCAGCCATCGTAAAAGCCACATAGGACAGAGTCCCAGGAGACATGACCAGTGAGGTTTGCACCTGGTATTTTAAATCCCCCCTTGGCCTGAGTACCCACATTGTGCAACTGTGTCAAGGTCCCCAAAAGCACCCTCAAGCTCAGTGATTAGATAGAGACTCACAGAACTCAGAAAAGCTGTATTCCTCCCTGTTCTCGTCTGTTATAGAGGAAGGATACAGATAAAGTCAGCCATCGTAAAAGCCACATAGGACAGAGTCCCAGGAGACATGGCACAAGCTGCCCACTGTCCTCTCCTGGTGCATTCATGCAGACAGGACTTCATTCTCCCAGCAACAATGCATGACGCAAGTAGGGAGTGTTGCTGAGCAGGGAGGCTCACCTGAGCCATGGCGTCCAGGGTTTTTATTGGGGTTTGGTCACATGGGCATGGAGCACCCACGTGGAGGACCTCGGTTACTCAGTTTCCAGCCCCTCCTATATTCAGACTGGTACAGCCCAAGGCCCCCACCCTGGATCACGCTGTTGACGTAAACTCTGTGGTGTGGCCCAAGGCCCCAGCTATACAAATTCACTGTTATCAGGCAGGATATTCCGAGGGCTGAGAGGTTTCCTCCCAGAAGCAGGTCAGACAGACCTTTCTTTGGAATGTGCAGGACTTGGACATCCCCAGCCTGCTGAGTTAACCCTTTCCTGCACAGCAGCACAAATAAACCACCTGAAGAGACAAAGCCGCAGCCCATGAAAGTGGTGACCTCGGTCGGCTTCCTCCTTTTAGACTCTTTCCCACTGGATGATTTCAGCCTCAGTTTTGGAAGGCGAGAGCTCAAGGGGACAGTGAGGCTGCAGGGGTCCCCCAGGGTCTCGTGGGCATCTTCTCTCTCCCTCCGTTTTGGCAGTATGCATCAGGCACAAACTGTGTGCACAGAGCTGTGTGATGGGCTGGGGTGGTGAAGGGACCCACAGACAGGTTTCTCACGAGGCCCGTGAGGGCTGAGTCAGGAGGGCCCAGATGTGCACAAGGAGGTTAGGATGCTCAGATAAGGTGGTTGTGTCCGTGAGAGGGGCTGGGACGCTGCGACCTGGGCAGGCCAGGAGGACTCTGGGAGGGCTTTCCTGGGGAGGAAGGTTTGAGCGCAGGGAGCACGCACCCCCTGAGGGATGGACGACCTTCTCCAGACACTCCACGAGCAAATCTCGCAGGCCTTTGCTGTCTCCTCCTCTGGTGACCCCTCATCTCTTTCCACCTGTTGAAACCCACCATAGTGGCTCTGAGGCCTATTGGGGACACACACTTCCTCAGTCCCCACAGCTGTCATGAGAGGTGGGTGTGATGCTCTGCATACAGGTGAGGAAGACAGACAGAGCCGGGATATGAGCCGGGGCTGTGGGCTCTCCAGTCCGTCTTCCTCCCATTTCCCCATCTGATTCCTGGGAAGCATCCCAGTTCCCCCAGAGAGCATGGAACACTGCAGCTCTCAGGTGCCTGCCTGTCTCTCCACCCACTGGCTGCCTCCTGAGGACAGACCTGCTGTGTGTTGCCCTTGTCTCTGTGTCCTTGCATCCCTGTATCTGTCACTGCACCCAGCACTTGGCAGACATTGGCAAGCATTTGTCCTTGAGGCCTGGAGACCCTTCATGGGTGTGGTCACCTGAATAATGGCCCCAGTGATGTCCCTGCCCTAGTCCCCCAGAGCCTGTGAACATGTCACCTTCCATGGGAACAAGGGACTTTGCAGATGTGGTTAAGGTATGGACCTCGAGATGGGAGAATATCCTGGATTGTCCATGTGTACCCAGTGTGTTCACAAGGGTCCTTGCCTTTCCCGGCTGAGGTCAGAGGAAGAGATGTGACGAAGGAAGATTAGAGAGACGCAGCATTGCTGACTTTGAAGATGGAGGAAGGGGCACCAAGCAACGTGGACACCTCTAGAAGCTGGAAAAACAAGGAAACAGTCTCCCCCAGAGCCTCCAGAAGGAACCAGCCTGGCTGACCCTTGATTTCGTCCCACTGAGACCTGTGTTGGGCTTCGGACCTGCAGCAGCCGTGTAGGATAGTACATGTGTGTGTGTTTAGAGGCATTAGGTTTGTGATCCACAGGAAACACGTGTGGGCCTCTGCTGACCACTCTCCCCCATTGCTCATACTCTGGCACCTAACATCCCATCAGCCCCTTCTCTTTTCACTTGCCACGTATGCACCGTGTGTGTGTGCCCACATGCCCCATTGGTGACTCCTGGGTGGGTCAGTGGCCCCTCTCTGCCTGCTGAACCTGGTCTGACATTCCCCGCCCTGGCTGCCCTGCCTCCCTGCCTGCCTTTCCCATGGGCCTTGGGTTCTGCACAACTTGGCCTCACTTGAGTCTGCCAGGCTCTGTGCAAGGGCTGGGGACATGGAGCCAGGCAAGAGGCCAGTGTGCTGGGCCAGACAGTATGACAACTTTGAGGATGGACCACTTCTGCGTGCTCCAAGACGCCCTCCCTGTTCATAAATCCTCAGCCCGGGAGGAGAAGTTGCAGAAGGCTTACGTCTCATCTCCTGGAACTGAAATCTTTTTACAATGCGATTAATGGCCGAGGGTTCAAGAGCTGTTTCGCCTGGTGGGTTGGAGCCTTTCCTCCCCGACCTGCTGCCAACACCTTCATTCCAGAGACTGAACCATGTGGCCCCGAGAGGCTCCACTTGGACAATTCCTGGAACGGTGGACTTGAGCCCGCTCCCATTTAACACAGGGAGGGAGAGCTCATCTTGTTCTGTAGAATTCCCTGGCGGCTCTTCTCGCCTGGGTGCCTGCACGGCAGACACACACCTATTGGACGGTGGGAGTTTGCTTGTTTTGTGTTTAACCATGACCAGCGCCCTGGTGTCATCATTGCCATATTTGACACGAGGAGGCCAGTCTTGGTCCCCCTCATGTTCATGAACAGCTTCAAATGTTCCTCTGTCTTTTGGTGCTGTTCTAGCAACCTCTAAAGTTCTCTTGGAAAAGAAGTTCACCTGCTCCTGCTGTGCTTGCCACATGGCAGCCGGAGCCAGGCTGCCTGGGTTGACTCTGCTCTGCTGCTACCATTCATTAGTCTGGGCAAGAGATGCTGCCTGTCTCTGCCTCAGTTTCCCCATGTGGCTGACAACCCCACTTGAGTCATTCTGTTGTTATAACAATGCACTGACTCTACACACGTAGAGCGTTCACAATGGGGCCTGCCAGGCACTAGCAAATGCTCAGTGTTAGCTCTTAGAAATGTTTTTTAAGAATTTCTTTTTATTATCCTTTTGTGATTAATTTAATTACAATATCATACTCACCTTATGTGCCAGGCACCTGAAAACAATCCTATGAAGTCAGCCATATTTTCCCTATTTCAGAGAAGAGCAGGTTGACCCTCAGAGAGGTTAAGCAGCTTGCCCAAGGTCACACAGCGAGTAAGGGCTCAGGCTGGGATTTCAACTCAAGCCTGTGTGTTTCTACCCCTCATCCTGCCTCAGGCCTGGACACAAGCAGGTGCCAGGAGAGAAGCACAGAAGTCAGGGTCAGGGGCCCTGGATCCAGGAACAGGCTCTGCTGCCTGTTGGCTGTGTGGCCTTAGGCAGCCACATGATCTCTCTGAACCTCCGATTCCTCATTTGAAAATGGTGGAAGTGGACGAGCACAGCAACTCTCAAATACCCACTGAGGAGAGAACCTGATCCAGCCCAGACCACCTGACTCAGACCCCTGGAGGCAGGGCCTGGTGGCTGCAGCTATAACAATCCCAGTGACTCACACACTGCTCTGGGATCCCCTGGCCGAGCTGGCTTCAGACCCTTTCCAGGGAGGGAGAGGCAGACCGCAGGGATCTTCCCACATCTGCCTCCCAGAGCCTGGCGTCCAGCAGAGCCTGGCACGCGGGAGGGGCTGGGGCAGATGGCAGACAGGTTGAGGGGCTCCTGCGTGGGCAGCGTGTTGGCACGGGAGGCCTCCCTCAGCTCTGGGACTGACTCCTCTGTCCTGAGGGTAGTTCCCACAGGATGGGGGCTCCCTGTGCCCTTAGTGGGTTCTTCCCACCGTCATACAGCGTGTCCACAGCACTTCACAGCTCCAGGGAGAACCTGTGGTGTCCTTCCAGCAGAGGCCAGACTGTCCCTGAGTCCTGTGGAATCTGAGTGGGCAGGCAGCAAGCACACTCCTCTAAGACCCTCACCAGCCCCTTCCCCTGGGGCCCTGGGGTGCTGGCACCCACATGGGGCCTGCTTTTCTCCTTCCTCTTATCCTTGCACTTTGGTGCCTCTTCAGTAGCCTCAGCCTTCTGCCACCTCCCCTGGCCTCCTGCCCGGCAACATTCTCAAGTGTTGAGGCCTAGTGAAAGTCACCTGCGAAAGCCACCATGCAGGTGGCTGGGGGTCCAGACACCCAGGTCTCATTATCCTTCATCCACTAGGGGGAGCCAGTGCACGTGGCTCGGCCTCCCTGGGGTCTGGGCTCTCGGCCTAGGCTGGGGCTCGGCATGAAGCCAGCTCAGGGCATGACCGCTTTCTGGGCCAGGCATTTTACTTCTGACCCACATGACCCTCCTGTTATGATTCCCCCCCCCCCTTTTTTGCTGTTTCTTTTAATGGTAATTTGGGTTATTTTAATTTCACAATATAAACAGCATAGAAAATACATGAATATGGGCCGGCCCAGTGGCGCACTCGGTAGAGTGTGGCGCTTGGGAGCGCAGCGGCACTCCCACCGAGGGTTCAGATCCCATATAGAGACTGGTCCGCTCACTGGTTGAGCGCGGTGCGGGCACGACACTGCGGGTTGCGATCCTGTTACCAGTCACGAAAAAAGACAAAAAGGAAAAAAAAAAAAAAATACATGAATACTTATTTCAAGACTTGCAAATTATCATAAAAGTAGCATAAAATATTATATTTTTGGTATTGCTGAATACATCTTTCCTTTTCTGGTAACTCTACAATTCATTACCTACATTAATAGTAGTACATAAATATATACAATAATGAAATGACACTGTTCTAAAAAAAATAAAATTAAACTAGAATGATATATTGTAACAAAAACCCTAGACTATTGTAAAGAACGCAAGTGACCCGTTTTGCAATTGATGCTGAACCTCACTGGTAACTGTAATAGGTCACAGGGAGTGTGTCCAGCAAGTGTCGTGCAGTGGATTAATTTAGGCGAATAGTCTCACTTTGTCTTCCCGCCTCACCTAGGCCCCGCTATCGGAAGGGACTGAGCCCTGACAGGTGGAGTGAATTGTCCCGGGTACGAGGAGAGACAATGGAGTTGCTGGATTTATGAGGGCTTGTCCAGCCTTGTAACTCTGCTTGCGCCCCTGGGGTCTCCAGAGATACCCTGTTGTGGAGACAGACGCAGAGAGTCTTGTTTGTCTCTGCCCTCGGGGACGCTCTGAGAGAGAGGAGGTAGCCAGATGTGAGGCCACCACCCACCCGGAAACTGCTGGCAACTGCTGTGCCCTAGGGCGGGCTCCTCAGCCTCTCTCAGCCCCTGGCTGCCCCCAGCAGAGGCTCCCAGCATGCCCATGCTGTCTCCTATATCTATGCAAATTTGGGGCAGATCCAAATTGGAGGCAGGTACTTATTTTTATGCAGATGTAACTCTCGGCAGTGTTTGGTGCATGGGAGATCTCATGAAAGCAGAACATCCCCCACATGCACTGCTCCTGTTCTCTGCTGGCTCTAAGATGTGTCAGCTCTTACGTTTTCTCAATACAAAAATGCCGCCTCCTTTGTCTGGGTCTCCTGCTGCCCGCTCCCCTCCCTCCTGAGACCTCTAGCCTCTCTGCTGCCACATAATCATTTTCATTCTCTTGCTTCTACTTTCTTAGTCACAAGTTTGGGAAAAAAGTCACCTATTTCAACTACTTGAGTGAGCTCCGTGAACACCTCAAATACGAGCAGCTGATCATCCCCCCAGAAGTTCTGCGGTGAGTGCCAGTTAGACACCCTTCTGAGAAGCATAGAATAAATATGTCTTCATGCTTCTGAACATTTGGTCCAATCCCATAAATGTTGAAGGCTTAATTTCCAAATGTGTGCCCAGCCAGGCTTGGCTCAGAAATCTGCAGCATCGACTAAGATATGCAGTAAAAGATGCTAACTGCTGACTCAAGAGAAATCAGACTACGAAGGTTGTGCACAGGGGTGGGGTGTTTTTCTTACCGACCATTGCAAAACTGATTTCAAAAGTAAGCCATAATATGGCAACTGCTGCGTGCAGCCCCAGTGTTTACCATTTTTGCTTTTGAGCAGAGAATTAGAGGAATTTTTCAGGTGTGTGGATAATACCTGAAGGAAAGTGAGCTGAGACGCCAGGGACCAATCAAGCATTATTAAAGGAAAAGAATCTGCCAGGCTGAACTCGAAGTGGAGGACAGCCCCAGGTGTGGGGGTGGTAGAGCTTATATAGGGTGCCAAGGGCTGGCTGATACCATCAAGGAGGGGCATTATGCTAATGCAGAAGCTATGCAAGCAGGGTGGAGAACTGCACCCTTGCAGGAGCAAAAGGGTTTCTGTTTTGCAGAAGTCACGAGGCTTCTTGTAAAGTGCAGTGGGAGGGGTTTGGTGCTGGAGTGGAAGACAAGACCGGCAGCTATTTTGTGCTTATTGTGTGCACAATGGTGCCAGTCATGTCCAAGATCCATCATTCTCACCTTTTACATATAGGGAGAAGGGAAAAGGGGTGAAGGTCTCATTCTTCTGAAGCTACTTCCTGCTGGAGATGGGCGAAGACATGGAAAAAATAAAAGATTTATGTTGGCAGATAAAACTATTAGGTGGTGGGGTATTGGTTTCGTGAGGGGAGGCTGTATTCTTCCGGGGAAGGGTCGCTGGTTCTGAGGGGCTGATGTCCTCCTCGCAGGAACAATTCAGCGACCTTTTGGTTGGTGAGAGCCTGCATACGTTCCTGCAAGAAATAAGAAAAATACCAAAACAGACAGGGACCAAAGGGTAGGCTGAGTCCCAGCACAGTTAGGGATCCTAGTAGGGGCATAAGCCAGGGTATCCAAGGGTTCGGTGATTGGGGCCACTCCCATGGTGTGTTTGTGTTTTGTAACCCTTTGCGTCGGTGATCAATGCTTGCCTCTAAATGGCTTAAGTTGTTTTGGATCACCCTGGACTCATTTATGTAATAACAGCATTCCTCCAAGAAGAGGCAGGTGCCTCCCTTCTCTGCTGTAAGTAAGTCAAGGGCCTGACGGTTCTGTAAAGTGACTGTCGTGAGTGAGATGACCTGTCACTGGAGGGAGGAGATATTATCTATGATTAGTTCTTCTGAGAGTTTCTGATAGAATTGAGAGGCAGTAGCAGGGCCCGCTATGCCAGTCCCAGTTGCAGTACAGGAGCAGGGGGCACTTCCTAAGAGAGGGGCCAATGTTAGTCCCAGTCCTGTCTCCATCTCTCCATCTGTCTGGACGGTGATGTCAGGGATGCAAGAAATTACATTGGAGGCAGGCAACGGTATAATGTAGTTTTACAAAGGAAATATATTTCAGTTTCGGGTCATGGATGTGGAGGGGGTTTGGTGGTGTCAGTAAGGCAGAGTGTGGACAGGCCCTGCACAAAGCTGACAGTCCCCACTGAGGTGACATTAGAGGAAAGTGAAGAGACGTTTGTGGAGACGTTATGGGCTGCATCGACAGGGAGGGGGGTGGCCACAAAAAGTTTCTCGTGAAGTGGGAGACAGATGAGTCTCTCGGGAACCAGTCTGATTCACTGAGGACTGCATCGTCTCTGCAGACCTGGAACCTCCATGTTCCAGGTAAGGGGGAGCATTGAGATCGGAGGAAAAACACGGGAAGGATGCAAAGGGCTAGGGAGCCAAAAGAATTTAAAGGGGACATTGCCACGATGACATTGCTAAGAAGCATCCTACTGATAGGAGGTAAAGGAGTGCAGGAGAAATCGTCCCACAATGTTACAATCTTTTGGGGCAGCTGCTGCCAATCCTGTAGCAAGTGCTGGAACAGATAGTGTGATAGCAGCTCCTGTGCGAGGGACGTGGAGCGGGGCTGCAGGAGTGAGAGGATAATCACTGGGGGAAAGACCATCCTTCTTCTGGGATTGGGGGAAGAGCGGAGGTCCTGGAGATTTTCAGTTTTGTGGGTCCTAAAATGGACAAAGTGTGAGGAGATGTCAGGTTCGGGGTTGAGCAGGGGACCCCTCTGGCTTGGTGTTAACAGATTCTTTGGGTAAAGTCTCAGGTGCTAGTTTTACCAAGGATAAGTGATACCAAGGGGCCTTTCTTGGTACTTTTACTGCCATGGGGGTGGCAAGAAGTACAGTATAAGGCCCTGCCCAACATGGTGAGAAAGGTTTTGGGATTCGGGTTTAATATACACTTGCTGTCCCTGGCTCAGTTTAAAGTCTGAGGGGGTGGTGGGGAAAAGATGAGGTAATAGAAGGTTGGCCTGTTCCCTAAGAAGATCCCTAATGAGTGAAAGAGCAGGGAGACACTGGCCTAAAGGCAATGAGCTGGAAGGGAGAGGTGTGGGAGAGAAGGGCCTACTGTACATAAGTTTGAGGGGGCTGAGGCCAGTGGGTTTGCAGGGCGCAGCTTGCAAGTGAGTGAGTGCTAAAGGGAGAAGTTGGGTCCAGGGGAGGTTAAACTCCATGGACAGCTTGGTGAAGTGTGTTAGATTTACTATGGCATAACCTGCCCAGGGGGGTGGGCATGGAGGTTGCACTCTCATCTATGAACCGTGTAATGGGATGCAGGGAGATGTGTGGAAAAAGAGGTCTAAAGCCTCCATGCAATTGTGTGCTAAGGTTCATGAGTGTTTTAGGATGAGAGTGGCTGGATTTAAGGGAGGGCAAGGTTTAAAGGAGAACTGGGAGTTTTCAATGAAAGTAATGTGGGGGCTGGCCCGGTGGCGCACTGCTACAGTGCACCGCTTGGGAAGTGCAGCAGGCGCTCCCACCGAGGGTTCGGATCCCACATACAGACCGGTTCCCGCTCACTGGCTGAGTGAGGCGTGGGAGCAACACCGAGGGTTGCGATCCCGTTGCCGGTCGCGGTCCAGTACGGGCGCGACACTGAGGGTTGCGATCCATTGCCAGACACGAAAAAAGACAAAAAAAGGGGAAAAAAAAAAAAAAGAAAGTAATGTGAATAAGTTGCAGGCAGGAAGGGGAGAGAAATGACTTGGCCTCATGGCTGAGAAGGTCTTGACTGTTGTCCAGAAGTCAGTTTAGAGCTTTCTTGTGCTAGAAGGGCAGCTGCCGCCACAGCCCATAAGCAGGGGGCCCATCCCCAGGCTGTGGTGTCTACTTGTTTAGAGATATGCAACAGGGGAGAAAATATCTCCTGCCTCTTGTCCCAAAACCTCGACTGCCAATCCTTGGGTTTTGGTGACGTATAGGATAAAAGGGTGAGATAGGTTTGGGAGGGATAGAGCTGAGGCTGTGAGGACAGCAGCTTTTAATAGCCAGAAGGGAGAATGAATGGGCTTTGTGGGATCTAAGGGAATGGCAGGATCCCCTTTCGTTGCCTGGTAAAGTGGCTTTGCTAGCACGCCAAAGTTAGGAATCCATAGGCAAAGATACCCTGCAAGCCCCAAGAAAGAAAGGATTTCACTCTTTGTGGTAGGAGTAGGGACTTCAGAAACTAGACTCTTGCAATCCACCATTATTTCTCTGGTGTTGGGGGTGAGGTGGACTCCAAAATAGGTAACTGAAGGAGAAGAAATTTGGGCCTTGCTGGGGGACACTCAACAATCCCCTGGAGGCCAGGAAATTAAGGAGAGCAACAGTGTGGGCCTGTGAATCCTCATAGGAGGGGCTGCAAAGGAGGAGGTCATCCACCTATTGTATTAAAGTGCTAGAGGTTGGAGGAAATTCAGGTAAGTTTTGAGCCAACACCTGGCCAAAAAAGTGGGGGCTATCCCGAAACCCCTGAGGTAGTACTGTCCAGGTGAGTTGTTGGGAATGACATCTATTGGGATCAGTCCCAGGTGAAAGTGAACAGGTTTTGACAGGAAGGGTGTAAGGGGATAGAAAAAAAGGCACATTCGAGATCAAGTACAGAGAAAAAATGGGTTGTTGTTGGGATTGTGGGTAGAAGAGTGTAGGGGTTAGAAATGATTGAGGTTATGGGTAAAACAGCCATATTAATGGCCCTGAGGTCTTGAACTAAATGATATGAGCCATTAGGCTTTATAACCACAAGGATGGGTGTATTACAAGGTGAATGGGTGGGTCATAGAAGATGAGAAGAAAGGAGTTTGTTTATAAGGGGCTTTAACCCTATTAGGTGTTTTTTAGCAATGGGGTATAGTGGGACATTAGGGAAGGAAGAGGGATCCCACAGCCTCATGAAGATGGGAAGGTGATGAGTAGCAATGGAGGGTGTGGAGGCATCCCGTACTATAGGATTAACTTTGTCAGGGGGAAAGGGGAGGGTAGAGGTTTCAAGGCTCAGGTCTGGGGTGGTCTGTAACAACAGTATTATAGCTGGAGTTAAAGTGTTTAAGGTAAAGGTAGCTTTGAATTTGGAAAGAGTTTCCCGTCCCAGTAAGGGGGTTGGGCATTGAGACATTATTAAAAATTTGTGTGTGAATTGGGTGTGATGTATGGTGCAGGAAAGGGGCTGAGTGATCTGTGGGTGGTATTCTGATACTGTGATCCCTACTGTTGTGATAGAGGACAGGGTTGTTGGTCCTGCACATTCAGGAAGGGTAGAATAAGTGGACCCTATATCATTGACAAGAAATCGGCTTACCTGCTACAAGGTGAGTTACCCTGGGCTCATGCATGGTGATCTCTGTGGGGGCCTTGGGCCCTGGGCATCATCAGTCCTCCTCCTGGACAAAGCCAAGAAGCTCTGGTAGGGATGGCCATGAAGCCAAAGGCTGTGAGTTGGGGACTGGGCCTCTCCCTGTCTGGTGAGTGGAACAATCAATTCCCCAGTGACCTGGCTGTTTGCAGTGAGGACAGGGCCTAGGAGGGCACCTGGGGTTAGAACAGGCCCATGCCCAGTGGCCCGATTGACTGCATATGCAGCAGTTATCAGGTGGCTTGCCCCTAGGGGCATCCAGCTTTGGAGTATGTGAGCCACAGATGGCATTAGCCAGGAGCTGGTATTTGGCCTGATCTCTTTTGTAATGATCCTTTCCCCCCCCCCCCTTTCTATTGTTAGAGTGTAAGAGGGCCATGCCTGTAGGGGAGTTTGGGTCTATTCTTGTGTATTTACGTAAAACCTCAGAGAGGTGGGTTAGGAATTAGTAGCCTTTTGGAGGCTGTAAATGAAGTGTGTGATGTTATCCCAGAGATCCCGATCCCTGTGGCCAGCCTGGTAGTCTCAATTTGGGTCTGTGCAAGGGACTGCAACAGCTCCCACAGGCTGCCTATTATTTTGAGCATGTACTGCGTCTCCCTGCTGTTGGGCTGCCATCCAGACCGCTCCCTGCCTTCAGGGGACTGATATATGTCTGGGTTGGACTGGAAGGATTCCAGTCATTTTCTATTTGGGAGAGGTCAGAAAGAGAAAAGAGGATATGTACCTGGATAGTTCCCTCCATCCCAGCCACTTCACAGAGGGGATATAAAGGAGCCAGAGCTGAGGTGGGGTTGTTACCTGATGAAGGGGAAGAAAGAGAGGGGGGCTGGGGGGCTGAGGGTGAAGAGAGGGAAAAGGTGGAGGGGCTGGTGAAGGATTTGGAGCATAGGGAGGTAGTCAAGGTGGCCCATATGGGGAGCAGAGTAGTCTGATGGATTAAAAGATTAATCTGAGTGCAGAAAGGGGAGGTCAGGCATGAGCTAGGAGAATTTGAGACGTAGGACAGTTTTGACAGAGAGAACGGTTGTAGTTGGAGATAGAAAAGAGGCTTGAACATAAGAAATCTCTCCAGCTTTTGCCCTTTCAGTGAGTATCTAAATCAAGAGTGCCATCTTGTGGCTACTGGGATCCATTGTAATGAGGTGTTCAAGTTTTAATGTCTCCCTGGAGGCCAAGAGATTGGCCAGGAGACAGCCTGGAGGTGTAGAGCATGGAGTACAGTAGAAAATGAGATGTCTAGGTTTAATGTCTCCCTGGAGGCCAAGGAGCAAATTGGTCAGGAGACAGCCCAAGGGCATAGAGCATGGAGGTTTGGATTGTGAGGATCCTGTGTAGAGGGTGAGAAAGGGCAGTCAGTCCTGGTAGAAGAAGTGTGCCAACAAGTAGCATCCTCTTTGCTGTCCACCTTCTTTTCAAGAGAAAAGCCACGACCAGCTAATGAAGCATCCTTCAATAGCAGGGGGGCACAAGAGGAGTTCCCCTGGCACCTGGGCTTCGTAGAGACCATAGTTGTAGAGAGTTGTCCGGGGAACTCATAGAAGCAGGACAGACCCACTGACTCACCCTGAATTGAGGCCGATGTTGGATGCATTGGTCTGAAACAGCAAAAGAGGAGAGTCCTGGAGGTACCTGGTTTGGCAGGTCCAGGAAGGGTGGCCGCGGGCCAATCAACAAGAGCAGGGATCGTCCGATGGTCTGGCCAGGTCCCTTCCCAGGTTTTGGCACCATAAATGAAAGAATGTGAGCTGAGACACCGGGTACCAATCAAGTTTTATTAAATGAAAAGAATCTGCGGGCTGCACTCAAAGTGGAGGGCAGCCCAGGGCTGTCCTCAAGATGGAAGGCAGCCCCAGGTGTGGGGGTAGGAGAGCTTATATAGGGTGCCAAGGGCTGGCTGGTACCATCAAGGAGGGGCATTATGCTTAATGCAGAAGCTATGAGACCAGGGTGGGGAACTGCACCCTTGCGGAAGCAAAGGGTTTCTGTTTTGCAGAAGTCACGAGGCTTCTTGTAAAGGGAAGTGGGGAGGAGTTTGGTGCTGGAGTGGAAGACAAGGCCGGCAGCTATTTATGCTTATTGTGTGCACAATGGCGCCAGTCACGTCCGAGATCCATCAATACTGTGTATGAAATGAAATATCACAGGTGCTCTGGAAGACAGTACATCCACTGACTCTTTGTTGAAAGCTTAGTGTGTCTGCTATGAGGACTAAATGTAGGATCAAATGAGCGGAGGGCAGCCCACAAGGGCTGTGTGGTCGGGGTGGCCACACAGCCAGTGCAGCGGGCTTGAATCCAGCCCAGGTCTCCTGACCCCCTCCTAGGCTCCCTCCGCTGCCCTTTACCTCTCCCTCCCTGAGGAGCTCCTCTGGAGCAAGGCCCTTGTCAAGACACCTGCAGGTGAGGTCAGTGGCCTGACGGGGGGTGTTAACTGAACTCAGGTCTGGCTGCCCACCCCCTCGAGAAGGAAAGAAAAAAGGACTCAGAAGTCGAATGGCTGTTGTTAGAAAAGCAGCTGTATTCAGCTGAGAGATATGGTAGCCTATCACATCTCAAATATTTAGATTTACTGAGGGGTTTTTAAAGGAGAGGTTGAGGGAATGGAATGTGGGAGGTGAAAATCAGAAGATATTAGTTCCGGGGGGTCTGTATCTACTGGTCAGGTACAAGGTCTC